GCTCTATACAAGTGGGTGGGCACGCCCAGCTTTTCACGCATGTCAAGTGACTGCCCTCACCCCCCCCCCCCCCTAGATTGGCTACACTCCCCCTGGCTCACGAATTCCCCGATTCTCGTGACAGTAGCGGGCAGCAGTCCCACTTACCCTCCCCTTCAAAAAGCCAGAAAGTGCCGGGTGCAGACCAAACACCACAATTGACGACGGCCGCGAGAAAGCGACAAGATTTACTTTGAGGCCGTCGTCAGTTGTGGTGTTTGGTCTGCACCCGACACTTTCTGGCTTTTTGAAGGGAGAGGATACATACATTTCCTGTTCAAAAAATGCGGCGTGCCCACCCTGCTTGTATAGCAGCGCCAATTTTAATAAGGGGTTGCTGGCTCATGAAGGCAAGGTCTGCCGCGACGCTGACAAAATTTCCGAAATCTACACGATTCCTCCTCTCATGGGGGCACTGATAAGACCCTTATCACCGCACCAGCCATCTGTGAAAGATACTCACAAATCCGTTGGGCAAACTTCTGTGATAGGAACACCACCCAGGTGGTGCTCCCCCATACGAACTCCTTCCCCAAACAGAAACCCATCAAATTCTATTAATATGACACCCGCCTGCGAATCCTTAACATCACCATCCATCAAAAAACAGCAACCTCATCCTACCTTTTAGAAAATTTCCTGCTTGGCTCTTAGCCCTGGAAAGCGGGCTGTGCAGCTCAGACAAAAGCCTAGGATTTCCCTTGGTTTTGGAATTATACCGTTAGTAAGCCAACAAAATTGACTCTCATGAGTCTTCGATCAGGTAAACGGCTAATCGAAACGAGTTGAATATACCCCCGGCATCAAAGTGGTGTTGTTCTTGCACGCGAAATGAAGGCCTTGCTGTGATTTGAACAGACAGTATAAGGAAAAGGAAAAGAGGCCGTTGAAAATGCTAAAGCTTAAGAAACCCTCTCCGGAAAATTCTTGCATTACTTTTCAGCATGAATAAATTTTTTGTAATCACTAGAGACAACTTACAAAGTTACTACACAAAGACTCAGTTCTGTGAAAACGAAAACAACGGTCTGGGACGGTCGCGGGACGGTCAGGAGGAGCTAAGAGAACGCATAGAATAAAGTGCACCTCGGGGCCCATAGCCAGTATCACGCGACTCATCAAGAATCGAGTAAAAATTCGATTCCAGAGAATAGAGACAAAACGATCGGTAGCATGGATGCAGTAAAAGTGTGAGGTGTTGATGCAATAAGTGCTGCCCTTTTTGAATTAGGTCAAGAAGAGTTCCTAGTCACGGCACTCCGAGAACCTCGAATTCTCGCAACCAGCATTTGTGACAGATGTACGGCGGGAATTTGAACGCGTAACAGTCCTTCCGGTTTTTCGAATTGTTTACCAAAACAAACGCAATTTTTTTGTTCTTTTCGTTCTTATCGTGAAAAATGGGTCTAATGCCAATGACTTATGGGAATCATGATGGGGAACATTTCATTAAGAGCTTGCTCACCTTTGTGGCAATGCAAAGAGAGACTAAGTACGAGTAGAGAATGGGCGAGAGAACACGGTAGATGAGATTGCGCCAGGCACGCGCGTGCTACGTAGTGGACTTTGCAAACTTTTAGCACGCTTTTCGCGCATTCTAAGGCCGGGAAAGCGGAACATCTGCAAGGATTCATCCACTCAAATTCATGCTGGATTGTGCCTTTAAATCTGAATTCTTTGTGTGTAAAATGAAAAGGATAGTATTTATCGGTACATAAAGTTCTTCGATAGAAGGTCAAAGCATGAAGACACAAATAGTAATATTTGGATAATACTTTCCATATTTCCGTCGTCAACGGCTTCCGTCATTGAAATTCTAATCAGACATTCTCTTTTTCCCATATTTCTTTGACTATCGGACCGTCGGTTCGATGGACGCGGAATGTACTAAATACAGCACCGACGGAGTAGAAGAACGGACGCACGATGTAGAGCAGACATATTGGCCAAATCGCCAGTACTTGACTCAATACCATGCGCCAGTAATGTGAGAAGAGGCTGAAAAATTACATCTTAAGAATAAAGAAGATCAGAGAAATATTCTTTTTTCCATCATTTCATTTTTTTGCGCGTCGGGGGCCCAAAATTATTGCCACTAACAGCAACATCCAGATAGTAAAGAAAGGTGATGTGATGCCCATAGTTGGCAATCGTACGTGCGATTAGGCGATGACAATAAAAGGTATACAAATCGATTAGGCGAGTAGACTATAAGAGGAAGGGACTGTTGATTTTATTGCCCGTCCACTGCGATCGCTAATCGCATTAATCGCTACTCGCCTACTCGTCTACAATCGCCTAAGGTCGGAGCATAGTCCATCAATAACGTATTATTGTAGTCTTCACTACGAATCGCCTGCTTGCCTACTCACCTAATCGCCGATCGCTATACCCTTGAATACCCTTCAATACCCTTGAACTAGAATTAAATCACTTGAGTAAATCTTCCTTCCGAAAACCGCAGAGTCCGAACCTACCTGTGTAATCCATATCCTCAAGAAGGAGAACAGTGCAAATATAAAACCAGCAATGAGCGCAATCGGAAGCCCGAAGATGAGCGTGAGGATTTTGTAGCAGTAGATACGAGTTACCTTCGAAGACCTAAAAATACCTGTAGATAATGGGAAGTTCTAAACATTTCGTCTCATAGGAGTTGTAACAAAATATTCAGTTGACAGTGATCAAAATAACAATTCAAGAAAATGACCAGTAATAAAGTAACTGCTTCAAAAAATATTCAGAACATGATTTATAAAATAAAAAAGTTTCTAAAACAGTACAACAGTGTTTCAGGCAAATCCCCCGAACAGCGAATTGCATTTACCTGTAAACTGATCGCCAAACACATGCTACACTGTGGTACTGTGGATCGGGTTCAGCAAAGATGTCCAGGAAATGTGTCTGAAATTTATTTGTTTTTTGTTAACCTTGACAACCTTCGGACTTTGACGCATCAGAAAGACTGCTCTCAAATGTGAATGAATAGTCAGAAGCCGTCCGATTGATGGGTGGGCTAAGCCATGTCTTCGGAATCCGTTCAAAATCGTAGAAGCAATTCCATGCGATTAGGTCCTTACAATAACTTGCAGGGCGAGATGATGTTGAGGTCAAGGTTTTTACCCTCTCTGACGAGTGCGGGACCAATTTACTGGCTCCGCAGAAACGGAGGGCTTCGTTGGCTTGGCCGTTGCACGCTCAGTAAACGATCTCCAGACCGTGCGCGTGGTAAACGGCGCACTTGCACTACACCACTTCCGCTCTCTCCATTGAAAGCACATGGAAGTCAAAAGAATTCCATGCTGCAGTGTTTGATGCCTGCCAGTAGAGCGGCTGAATCTGATGACGGTGATAAGGTGATGGGTGGAAAGAGTTGAGAGCAGGGTCAACCGTCACGCTGGACCGAATTTCGAAAATTTTATGACCTCTCCTTCTAGAGGGCCTCGATGCGACCCTCCCCTCAGGGTTAACCCTTCACGACCATCGTCCACCACCCTCGCCTGCCATCGCCATCATGGGGGCGATCGTTAGGTAATTGATTTTGTGAGACGCTTCGACCACACAGCCCAACTCGCCCTTTTTCCTCATCAAAAATCGCCCGGTTGAGTTGGCGGGGGTAATTATATCGAAATGTGACCTATTTTTCAACACTGCACATCCCCAGAACCAAACTCGCTCTCGATTCGCATAAAAATCTCCCTTACTGCGTTGTACGTTTACCTTGACGCAAATACTACGCCCCCTCTTCTCCCGCCAAATACGACCCCACTCTGTTGGCGACGGTGACCGTGGTTTGAACAAAACAGTTATTATAAAAGGAGCGAAATGGCATCACGAAGCAAATCGAGAGTCACAATATGAAGATCAAAACAAATTGGTCACGTACAGTTTACTAAATTTTTTAACTGTATTGTTTACTTATTTATCAAATTTTTCGTTTGTTTAGTGGAAAGAGTAGCGATTATGCTGCATAGTTTAGAGCATCGATCAGCATATCCGAAAAGATTCCAGTTTGAAGCCAATATCGAAGGAAAAGGAAGGCAAAGTAAACAACACCTAACAAAAATTATATCAACACCTTTCCTAAGGGATAAAAGATTAAGGTTCGGCATTTAGCAGTCCTGTTTAGGATGCGCCGTGCACTCTACTCCCACTCAAAATCGTAGTGGCCTTTTGAAGACGCTATGTCATACAGTGGCTTGAGAAGCCCAACCGATATACGACTTATTGCTTTCTCCCCACAGAAAAATATGGTAACAAGGACAGGACGACGAAGAATGGAAGACTTGGTTGTCTTGGGCGGTGCACGATCCAGGGTCCGATAATCGGATCGCGCACGTTGTAAGCAGCGCTACTTGTCTCTACACCACTAACACCGTGGTCTTACACTAAGGTAGATGAAATTCTGGACGAGGAAGGATTGTGAAAAATTGTGTCGCAGATCTTCACGTGAATAATTCCGGGCTTCAAAATTCAAGCAAAATACTGAAAAATTTAAAAAGGACAAAAATTACCTTAAGGTCCTGGTTTAGCCCGTGCTCGTCCCGTTGCTCCATATTCAATTGACGAGCAGTCACCTCTTTGCAAGCATGGCCATTGAAATCGAAAGCCATTTGTGGATTCTTCGCTTTCGCAGGTTGCACTGGCATTGGTAATGAGGTTTTTGACTGAAATTCATCACCACGTTGCTATATTGGTCATTTATCCCTGTTAGGTTTTTATGAGCGCAGTACAAAGAGATGGAATACGCACGTTCGCGGAACAAGGAAACGCGAGTTTCAATAGTTCACCTAAATGGATCAAGAAAGGTCGTGATGACTGTCGTTGGAACTGTTTTGACCCATTTCTACTGCACTTTCAAAGAGTCGTAAGAAATGAAGCGGAATTTTCAGAATCAGAACTATTTCTTGATTTTTACACCTTGATTTCTGCGGTCGTGTTGCGCCATGCTTTTATAAATAAGCTTCAAAATCACAGTCAGCATAGGAGCAAAAGATACATAAAAGGATAATAAAGGATAAAGCATTTGCCGTTGATCAATCCCTTTTTGGGATGCGGCACGCATTCTACTTCCATTTGTACATTCGCAGTGGCGTTTGAATGCGATGTGGCCTATACAATGACTTGCGGGGCCAGCCAATGACTTGCGGGGGCCAGCCGATGTCAAGTCAGTGTTTTTATCCTCCCAGACAAGTCTGGTACCAATTAACCGACCCCGGAGGGATGGAAGGCTTGGTTGGCCCGGGCGACTCACGACCCAGGATTTGATCCCGGACCGCTCGCGTGGTGAGCGCGCCACTTGTCACTACACCACTTCCGCCCGATTGAAGATACAGTAAGGATCCAAATTCATAATTACCATTCCGTCACTTTACGCCGGCAAGAGTAGCATCATTTATCTCGAACAGTACAGGTCGCTATCCCAACATACGGGGGCATTGGTCTGGCCATGCATTCGAAACCATCTGAGATAACCCCTTTTGACGAAAACGGGACTAACCTCAGCCCTGGCGTGGAGAGAGCGCGTCCGGACGTGCGTTGAGCAATATTTCATTTCCTAGAGTTACTATGCCCATTCCTATTTCCCGGACCATAAACAATACCGCTATCTTGTGATTGCCGCCAGAGGGGGCCCAGAAATTTACTAAGATCTATATGCACCTGGAAAATTTGTAAAGAAATCAAACTATAAGGGTTTTGTTCAGCTTTGTATACTATTATACGAAGTTAGACCGATCATTTTTCTTCTTCTTCTTCTTATTCTTCAGCGTTTGTCCCGCTTGTTGGCGGGGTCCGCTTTTCTGATGTGCTGTCGCCACTTTTCCCGATTAAATGCTTGGTCGGGGTGGATGTTAACCAACTTCAAGTCTGCGTGCAACGTATCGAGCCAGCGCTGTTTCGGGCGCCCCTTGGGCCGCTTTCCGTGCACGTCTATGTTGAGGCCGATCTTGCGAACACTGTCATCATTTCCGCGAAGAACGTGGCCAAACCAACGAAGCCGAGCTTCGCGCATTTTATCAGCAATGGGAGCTACACCAAAGCGTTCTCGTATGACATCGTTCCGGACGCGATCTAATCGCGTGACACCAGCCGTCCAGCGCAGCATCTTCGTCTCCATTACACCGAGGCGAGTTTCAGTGTCCCTGGTCGCTGGCCAGCACTCAGCGCCGTACAATGCCACTGGTCTTATGACTGTCCTATAGATCTTCGATTTTAGGCGTTCTGGGATTTTCTTGTCACAGAGAACTCCCGTCATAGAACGCCACTTGGACCAAGCCGCACTCACACGCGAGTTCACCTCAGTACTCATACTGCCATCAGACGCAATTGCTGATCCAAGGTACTTGAATGTCGTTGCACGTGTCAGCTCTACTCCATTTATTTTGATAGAACCGCACTCGCTCGTGTCGGTTGTCAGGTACTCAGTCTTCCTAACGTTCAACCTGAGTCCGAACATCGCTAGGCGATCGCACCAAGCTTGCGCTTGTTGTTCGAGTACGTTTTTGTCTTCGCAGGCGAGCATCACGTCATCAGCATAGAGAAGCGTCCATGGAGCCGGTTTCTGAAGATCTCGTGAGATGGCATCCATGACGACAACGAAAAGAAGTGGGGAGAGCAGAGCCCTGATGTACCCCAACAGAGATGGGGAATTCTGTCGAAACGCCAGCTGACGTTTGCACTCGGCTCTTTGGGCTTGAGTAAAGCATGCGAACCCACTCGATAAGCTCTTCGGGGACGCCATGTTGTCGTAAGGCGTACCATATTACTTCACGTGGAACGCGATCAAAAGCCTTTTCCAAGTCTAGAAAGGCAAAATGCACCGGCTTTTGTTTTTCACGGTGTTTTTCTAGCAGAACGATCTGTTCTTACTTTGTCGAAATGAAAGGCACCACTCCAAAAGGGCGACTGAACGCTTATCAAGACCATCGATGGATCCCTTTTCATGCGCACTGCTCTCTTTTACGTAGCGCTACCATTCGGTTGTCTGCCTGCCTCAAACTCCCTTATTGAGCGGCACACCAAATCAAATTTTTAATGAAAGTGAAGATTAGTTAAGTTCATTAATATGTTGGTTAACATAACATAATTAAGGTTAATGTTGGTTAATATGTTGGTTGGAAAAGTGGTTCGAACATAGGCACTACTCAAAAACATATAGGGACTCTCAGATATAGCATATTTATAAAATGCTTACCTTTTTTGGGCGAGCTTCTACCACGGGTGGCGTGACGTACTTCAAGTTCACTGGCATCGGGAGCCACCATGGGTACCGCTTGCGGGACGACTTTGCTCGGGATTACCTCACTAGCCAAGGCACTCGAGTGTTCCACCGAATGAGACGCCTGAAAAATCTTCTTTTGTCGAGAGGCACTTTGCGCTGGAATGCGCGGTCAACAAAGACAGAACCTACACAAAAAACTTCTTCCCAGGAAATCTGTCCTGAATGCTTTGAAATGTTCTACTGTGGTAAAATTTATTATATTAACAACTTTTTTAAGGCACATTATATTCATAGGAGGGGAAATCATGCTAAAAAAGCAAAGTAAATAGGGAGATTTGCTTACGGCGGATCGGATTGAGTAAAAAACAGTAGGGAAAGGTCTGAGAGCCGAAAGTTCCAGAGACCTGAAAAATTAACTGACTTCTAATGCGAGAACGATAATTTGAGCTTACCGTAATATGAGTGGTCACAGAAGAAATTTGTGTAGTTTCGGGCACTTCTTCAATATTCCTGCGCAACTGATTCTTCTTGTGGTTGATTCTTCTGCTGGAGTGATGAGCAAGAGCTCCTCCGAGCTCATATATTCTGAATTTGCTCATATTTAGGAACCCTTTATAAATAGAGGGATCACAGAGTTATGCAGTAAACGCATAGAGGATTGTGATAAAACATCAAGTCAAAGAAATCAGGGTTTCAAAGATCGATTCGAAAAGATAGAACGAATTCATGTAAAATTTAAAACAAGAGCTAGTCAAAATGCACGATCTCGAGAAATCAAACAATCATTGACAGAAGTGGTCGAAGGAAATGTAAGTCATATATTACACGCCAATCTTGAGCAAAGTTCTTACAGCAAGTTTGTAAGAATCGATTAATGTATGGCGAAAAAGATAATTGTCAAGGCTGGCTTTGATTTAGTCCCTGAGGTATTCCATTGGCGACAGACCGCGAATGTTGTTTCCAGTCAAAATTCTAGATGCAATAAATTGGCAGAGGCAAAAATTTCTATTACTGTACGTAGTCAACTGCTAAACAGATTAGAACGGAAGTAGTATAAGCAGCCCAGAGACAGTGCAAAAGCCGGCGATAATATGTTTGATCTTTTTCGATTAAACCTTGTTTATTTATTTATTTTATTATTTGATTTACGCCAACCTATTTTTATACTTTACTATCACTAGATAGGTTGCGCTACAACGCTACACATAATTCAATCAATGGAATCAAATCGAGATCATAACCAAGGAAAAGTTTATTATTCAATAAAACACCATGGAGAGAAAAGAAAAGAAATTGAACCACAAACAACACGACGTTGAGACGGCAGGAATCTTCCAAAAGAACTGCAAAAATTTTGGAAATAAATAATTGAGCCGACGTCGAGTTCTAAGAAAACAATTTGCGAGTGCTCAGAAAAGAAGTTGAGAAGAGACGGATGAGCTTGCAAGCCAAGCGGTTTTCTCGATCATCGCGAAAGGAGTAGAAAGGAGAGCAAATTGCAGATGATCTGTGGCGATGGTCTTATGTAATCAAAGCTTTGAAACACATATCTGCTCTACATGATTTGTGTAACTAGTGAATCCGATAGGGAAGCAACTGTCACGAAGCCTGTTATACGCCAGTGCTGAAAGCCTCAGGTTTTGCAGCTGACTAGAACCATTTTTATATTCCGACAGGCGTTGTGGTAAAGCTGGGGACACATTTTTTTGTCTTTTGTTTTCTATTATCTTTATGTTGGCCTATAACAAGTCTAGCTGTCTGTCTTGCCTATGTTTCCTGTCGAGAGTTATGTACCGAACTAACACCACACATCTACTGCGTATTGTAGCACTACCGGAGTGTCATAGTAATACATAGTAATAAGATATTTAGTAATGCTGTGTAAGTATGACGAGGCACATAGTCAAGAACAACTAACTGGCAGAAAAGTCTCCACATCGGCATATTTAAAGGCATCGATTCTTTCAATGTGCGAGCCTGCGCCAGCTTCTTCACCCTTCAAGGCAGCAACGCCCGATTTTTCCAAGGATATTTGTCTCGCACTCAGGATATGACGAATGTGAATCGGAATATGTCGTTAACCTGTCAGATGATCTCCAGCGGTATCGAATTCTCTTTTTTAATTGAAGCCACGAGTCGTGATTAGTCCAAGAGCCAGTCCATTTTAGATTGACAAAAAGGTTGCCCAGCGGCAGGGAGGTTTCCACTTGTTGCTACTCACAGTACGGGAAACAAACGGCGCTAGCGGCCATAGCTGCGCCGCCACTGCGTCCATCCTTCTTTCACACGCCAACCGTGGTTTCTGAGCCTTCCTCGCCACGACGATACGTATCTCGCCTCAATCCCTCTCTCCTAAGCACTAGTGACTCTCGACTGTCATTACACGGCGATGCATTAAGGCTACACCGACTTCTGCTTTTTTCTCTACTAAATGCTCCCTGATTACATTCCTTTGTTGAATCTTAAAACAAAAATAACGCTACAATTCATCCCGCTAGTGCTTTGAAGGCATGTCACATTGTCAGTACGATTGTAGGCACACGAAAATACCAATGCGATTCGGTGACGAGCATAGCCAGTAGTAAAGGAAAAAATAAGAAAGAATTCTATCGAAAAACGTATCAGGTTAAAGGCGCTTACTTGCCAATAAGGCTGTGCCTTAGGCAATGAGAGATTTAGCGGCGGGAGATAAAAGTTGAGGAGAAAGAGATGCAAAGATAAGTAGGACGCATAGGAACAAGCCTGCTCAGGACGGGAAAATTGAAGCTGTTGAAGCTATCCTTGCGAGGCATAGCGCTATTGTCGAGCGATTTCCATGCTCGGGAATGCCACATCTGTGATTGCCCTCTAGGGGCCTATGCTACAGAGCGAGGGAGCGTTCACGCGACTTCTGACCTGATTAGTGCCTTCGATAGAAGAACACGCCATTAGAAAAACGATGTCGCATAGTTTTCGTTGCTTGAAAAACAGAAAACATCAACAAACGACGTTCTCGGGAAAGCCCACGTATAGAAATCCAAGAAACGGTTCAAAGGCATTCACTGAGTTTGAAACAAGCATCATTCAACAAAAGGTAGCTAATGATAAAGTCTAGGGGTACGCTAACCAGATAGTTTAACCCTTTCGGACCTGAATTTTTCTTTCCGTGGAGAAATTTTTTCTTCTAGCTATTGTTTATTACTTGTGAGCACATAAGTATCATTATAGCGAAATTTGGAAGCTATTCGATCACAAACTAAGAAACTAGGAAGCTTTGAAAATTGGCCCACCTTCTTAGTTTTTGAGCTTATGTCGAAACAATTCCAAATTTCATAGTTATGCCGAAAAAGTTTATAATCTTGCACAACATTATAACCCAATGATTTGATGAAGAATGGATATACTTCAAGTATTCTGAGAAAAAGTGACACTTACTTGGCCGGTTGCGGGGACCAGCGCCGATTCACTTTGTTGCCACTTTGTTAGATAAATTTATTGTGATTGAACGAAGAGCAGTGGGCGGAAAGGTGAATTATTATACTACATAGAATAACTCTATCATAAAAGATGAAGCATCTTACTTGATATTGAGTGTTTGCCCAGAGAAATATAATTCGCAATAATTACTCGTGACGATTTGCCACCATGATGTCGCAGTTGGCTGGAATGCGGTAAGTGGCGCCAGCATACCAACACCAAGGAATCCCAATCAAATCTCGCCATAGATCGACCGCAAGGTTTCACCTCCCTCGGTAGAAATTACTTAGTAGGCAACCTTGACCCAAAGAGGATCGAAACATTGAAAACCCAATCGACTAGCCCCCCCGCCCCATCCCCAACCCCGCCACTCGCACAGTACAATGTAGGCGGTGTCAAATTAAAATTCCACCACGATTCTGATTGGAAATGGAATGCGAGGCGCGTCCCATTAAGGTTTGAGCCGAGAGCCTTGCCTTGTTGTACCGGATACCTGAAGCTACCTGGTTGAAGAAGATCACTGTAGAGAGGGAGTTCTAGGCGGGACCGAGACAAGGGTTTCTTGAAACGGGGCAAAGCACAAGGCCATGGAACGGACAGTCCGTGGAGAACCCTCCGCCCTTAATTGCGATTTGATTTTTTGCGTAGCGCCACAGATCGTTCGATGTGTACAAAAGCTTTTAGCATGGGAAAAACTGTGTGCCGCCTTAATTAGCTCTGACATAATTCACGCCGATATGAAAAAACAGCGTGCACCTGAGCGATTTAGGGCGAACCGTTTAGGGTCACTTATGGCCAAAGTCTCACGTTCCACCTCTCTCGTTGCGAAGTACGAGTTCCCACTCAATTGACATACTCTTGGTTGGAAAGGCCGGTAAGGCTACCTTTTGTGATGAATCTTTCTGTGGGTTCAGAGGTCAAGGGTTGATATCACAGGATGGAATACCCCTACTCAAGTGAGGATCATCTGGTTTCCCACACATGATCTTGAAGACATTCATTCTGCGAAAAAGCGGAATTACATCCAAACGACACTGCGATTTCGAACGGACCAAGAATACGTGGCTTATACCAAAAAAAGCGACTGCTTAGTGACGAATGCTTCATACTTGAAAAATCAACATTTATTCTGTAAACAAAATACTACGAAATTCTAAACGTGACCAAAAGTTGTTACAACTGGGCGTTATTGACATACGACTGCTACGTGACGGTTTTTATCAGTACGCTACGCACTGTTATCAGCGGAACCCAACGACTTTATGGTGCGTGTTTTCATAAAATCAGGTGAAATTCACACGCACGAATAACTTCGAAGTTTCCAGCTTTTTTGAGAGCTTGTAATATTTTTAACTTAAAGGCAGAGATCACGATGGTTGGAGGGCGGTACTATCCTGATGACGTCATTCAACGTCACCGGTTGAGTGGAGAAAGGGAAAAACGATCCCGACCACGCCCCCAGCGAATTGAGGAGTATTCTTCACCAAAAGCCCTCAATGACGTCATAGACCCGCACCGCCCTCCAGCCATCGTGAACACTGCCTTTAAGTACGGTGGGTAAATTTCCGGGTGCATCTGTAAACATTTCTATATAGCAGCTACGAGGATGCAAGGTTATGGGCAAAACGCTCAGCACCTCCGAGGTGGACCGTCTGTTCGCACTGTTCGATCGAGGAGGTCGCATTTGGGAGAAGGGTAGCATTTAGGGGTTGAGCAATGTTAAGCTTCTCCGGGAAAAGTGTAAGGGATGTAGGATTTGCCGCCTCATGGTACTATGCCTCCCCACACCCTCCTCCCCTCACCAACTGTTTGGAGGAAAAGTGGGCGGAGTAGGGTGTGCAGAATCAAATGCTCAGAAACCAGCCCAGATACTGAGGCCTACTGGAGGGCGGCATCGGGGAGCGGAAGGGACTCTATTAGTGAGCCGCCTATGTAAGGTGTATGGTTGGTGTCGTGGTGATGGTCGGTGGTATGCTTGTTTACTTGAGACCCGTAATGGGGGGGGTCGCAAATTTTTCTGATGATGCAAAGGGCCGATGGCCCTGACTCTCCCTCCCGGTAAACCGAAACTAATTCTTGCTTAACAATGAGCAGTGCTATCACTACATTACCCGAACCCATTATAATCTACTTC